AAATTTTGGTGTAGACGATTTTTGGTAAAAAAGGAAGGTTATACACTGCCTTTTTTTGAGCCCCGAAACAAAAATTGTCTCAGATCGACCCGGAAAAATTTTTTCTTATAGAATGTGGCCTGTAGAATCCATAATTTCAAACAGTTCCAAGATTGGGCTACTAGTTCAAAAGTTACAGCCCTTTGAATTTTCTTTCGAAATTGGTTTCTAGTCTATAACTTTTGATTGAGAAGTCTGATCGAAAAAGTACGAATTGTTTTGGATTCTACGCACCAAAATTAATAAGAAAAAGTGTTTTCCCGAGAAATTTTGGTGCAGTCGATTTTTGGTAAAAAAGGAAGGTTATACACTGCCTTTTTTTGAGGCTCGAAAAAAAATTGTCTCAGATCGACCCGGAAAAAAATTTTCTTATAGAATGTGGCCTGTAGAATCCATAATTTCAAACAGTTCCAAGATTGGGCTACTAGTTCAAAAGTTACAGCCCTTTGAATTTTCTTTCGAAATTGGTTTCTAGTCTATAACTTTTGATTGAGAAGTCTAATCGAAAAAGTACGAATTGTTTTGGATTCTACGCCCAAAAATTAATAAGAAAAAGTGTTTTCCGAGAAATTTTGGTGTAGTCGATTTTTGGTAAAAAAGGAAGGTTGTACACTGCCTTTTTTTGAGGCCCGAAAAAAAATTGTCTCAGATCGACCCGGAAAAAAATTTTTCTTATAGAATGGGGCCTGTAGAATCCATAATTTCAAACAGTTCCAAGATTGGGCTACTAGTTCAAAAGTTACAGCCCTTTGAATTTTCTTTCGAAATTGGTTTCTAGTCTAACTTTTGAATGAGAAGTCTAATCGAAAAAGTGCGAATTGTTTTGGATTCTACGCCCAAAAATTAATAAGAAAAAGTGTTTTTCCGAGAAATTTTGGTGTAGTCGATTTTTGATAAAAAAAGGAAGGTTGTACACTGCCTTTTTTTGAGGCCCGAAAAAAGAATTCTTAGCTCGACCCGGAAAAAAATTTTTCTTATAGAATGGGGCCTGTAGAATCCATAATTTCAAACAGTTCCAAGATTGGCCTACTAGTTCAAAAGTTACAGCCCTTTGAATTTTCTTTCGAAATTGGTTTCTAGTCTAACTTTTGAATGAGAAGTCTAATCGAAAAAGTGCGAATTGTTTTGGATTCTACGCCCAAAAATTAATAAGAAAAAGTGTTTTTCCGAGAAATTTTGGTGTAGTCGATTTTTGGTAAAAAAGGAAGGTAAAACACTGCCTTTTTTTGAGGCTCGAAGATAAAATTGTCTGAGATCGACCCGGAAAAAAAATTTTTCTTATAGAATGGGGCCTGTAGAATCCATAATTTCAAACAGTTCCAAGATTGGGCTACTAGTTCAAAAGTTACAGCCCTTTGAATTTTTTTTCGAAATTGGTTTCTAGTCTATAACTTTTGATTGAGAAGTCTGATCGAAAAAGTACGAATTGTTTTGGATTCTACGCACCAACATTAATAAGAAAAAGTGTTTTCCCGAGAAATTTTGGTGCAGTCGATTTTTGGTAAAAAATGAAGGTTATACACTACCTTTTTTGAGCCCCGAAGAAAAAATTGTCTCAGATCGAGCCGGAAAAAAAAATTTTCTTATAGAAAGTGGCCTGTAGAATCCATAATTTCAAACAGTTCCAAGATTGGGCTACTAGTTCAAAAGTTACAGCCTTTGAATTGTCTTTCGAAATTGGTTTCTAGTCCATAATATTTGATTGAGAAGTCCGATCGAAAAAGTACGAATTGTTTTGGATTCTACGCACCAAAATTAATAAGAAAAAGTGTTTTCCCGAGAAATTTGGGTGTAGTCGATTTTTGGTAATTTTTGAGCCCCGAAGAAAAAATTGTCTCAGATCGAGCCGGAAAAAAAAATTTTCTTATAGAAAGTGGCCTGTAGAATCCATAATTTCAAACAGTTCCAAGATTGGGCTACTAGTTCAAAAGTTACAGCCTTTGAATTTTCTTTCGAAATTGGTTTCTAGTCTATAACCTTTGATTGAGAAGTCTAATCGAAAAAGTACGAATTGTTTTGGACTTCCTGGATGAGAAGTCAACCCTGTACCAAGTGCCAAGCGCCGATGAGCACACACAGGTTCGGGGGAAGTGAGAAATCGCTCCAAAAGCGAAGGAATTTTTCGGGATCAACGGCCTCAGGATCGAGAAGGCCAGGGGAAACCACTCCTTTAAATACCTCACGGTATCCCTTGTAAAGTGCTGGAAAAAATGAAAAGAAAGGATCCTTTGAATATTAAATTTTCCGGAATTAAAATAGTCCGTAACTCGGATCTCCGGGGTGGGCAGTATACGAAGAGTACATTCAAGAAAAACAATGAGGAGACGGAACAGGGTAAACGATGATCGGAACTTGGAACGTCAGAAGTTTATTAAAAGGAGAAAAAGCTTGAACTGGATTTAATTGGAGTAAGTGACACAAAATGGAAGGGACAGGGGCAAGAAAGTTGTGATGAATGATGATGCAATAGTACATTGATCTACAAGTTTAGAAAAGTGTTAGTTTTCTAGTGAGTGTAAATGTTTGAATTCACGAGTGGCGCAGCTCACGAGTGGATCAAATTTGCACGAGCATAGAAATTCACTTTTCTTACGTGTAGATCATGCTATTTTTTCGTGTAGTTTATAAAAATACCTCTAATTGTAACGTTTTGTTTTGATGTCGAAGAATAATTTATTATAATATCAAAGTATGTTGAGCATTTGTTGATATGGTAACAAAACATACGAACAAGTAATAATTTGTGAATAACGCTCATTTAAAATGAGTCAATCAAACGGGAATAATGAAGAAATTTTACAATTGGTATTAGAAGCAGAGTCAAGTTTATTACCTAAAAAGTCCAAAGTAAAGTACGAGAAATGATACCTACAGTTCTGTGACTGGAGAAATATAAAAAATGTGCGAGGAGCAAATGAAGATATTCTAATTGCGTACTTTGTTGGAAAGGTTTGTATTACTCGTATTTATAAAATGTATTAGCCCTGATTTTTAAATATTCTTAGGCAAAAAAACTTAAAGCTGCTACACTATGGTCACAATACTCGATGCTGAGAAGTACTCTACAAATATAGGAAAATGTGGATATTTCTGTTTATAAAAAGTTACTTGCTTACCTGAAACGTCAAAATGACGGTTATGTGGCAAAAAATCGAGAGTTTTATCGATGGATAACGTAAAGGAGTTTTCAGAAAAGTCTCCTGACGACAAGTTTCTGTTTATAAATGTCGTGTTGGTAATTGCCCTGCACGGACTCTGTCGGGCGGAAGAATTACGGTTACTACACGTGGATGATGTAGAAGATTGGGGAAATATTTTGGTCATAACATTAAACGAAACAAAATCAAAGAAAAAACGAGCCTTCACAGTTACATCGGAGGATGAATTTATATTTTATAAACGTTGCGGTCGCTTTCCTCATCTTCTGGTGTAATATTTAATAACTTAACAAATTGTTCATTTATGATTTACAATATAAACAAAATGAATGAAAAAAAGTGTTGCTAACTGAAATCGTGAAGAAAAGTGTAGCTAACAAGAAAAGTCTCACTTTTCTTCACGATTTTTGATTTAACAATACGCCACTTTTCTATTAACTACACGAAAAAGTCCTTTTACAGTGGTAAAATATAGGGAAAACGGAGTAGGGATTTATTGTTAGCAAGGAACTTTGCAGGTGAGTAACAATAGTTATTTACATAAAAGTCAAGAAAATGATACATTACTGGCGAGAAAATATTGAAGTGCGAGGCCCCTTTAGGGCAGAGTAATTTAATTTCCGAGTCAGGTACCTAATGTCACTTTACTGACGAGTTTTGTGTTAAATTTTACACGAAATCGTATTTTAATATCAAATTTCAATTTTTATAGAGAACTTTTGATGAATGTCAGTGATGACAAGAGTCATTATGGACATTTGGAAATGTCACAAATGCGGCCGGAAACGCAGTCTGCTATGCCCTCTGTCATGGAAACTAAAATTTCCTGACAGAAAGTAGGCATGAAAATGAAGGTTTCAGGACGATTTTGGGTAAAGTAATTTATGGCTGTGATAGAGCGACAGTTCTAAAAAGAAAGCTTAACGCTGTGCGAAATGTTAGTGATTCAAGTGTACATCCCAGAAGGAGGTGGTTGTTGGGAAATCGTAGTGGGTCACTTGAATGCAGTGGTGGGAAATTAAAGAGATGGAAATGCGGTTGAAAAGAAAAATGAGAGAGGTGGATAGAGGTGGTAGATTTCTGCAAAAAAA